TGAAGTTTTTTAAGAAACCAAGTGTGCGTGGAGTGTGTGTTGAAATTGAGTGTCAGTAACGTAGCAACGTCCCACTATATTGGCTTTATTGTGTTTCAAATGGAATCGGACCCTGAATCAGTGACATTTTTTTTTTATTTTCTTCACAACGGAATCAAATGGATTTTTTAAAGATATGGAACCAAACCAAAGTCGAACCATTTGGCTCTAGTTTGATTTGATTATAGTTTTATTTCTTAAAATTTCAAACTTGTATTGTATCCATAAGTTAGTAGCATATATAAAAAAAAAAACATTAAACATTCAACAAGTTCAAATTATCCATCATCGAGATCACAAAAGTCCAAACTAACAAACAAAATATAGTCATAATTTAAATACACATCAATTTTCATTCCATACAAAAGATTGTCTAATAAATAATAATAATGATTCACCAAATTAATTGCAACATTTTTTCGGCACATCCCCACAATAAATGATGAATTATGCGAAACTTTTAAAGTCACTTTCATAGACAACCATTAACCCTTTAATACTTCATAATGTTTATTGGATTTTCCTCTATTTGTAAAGAACACAAATAATTCATCAAACAATCAAAGTGAAAAATAATTTAAAGGCTTTTACCCTAGAAAATTGTTGCTGTCAAACAAACCAAAATCAAGAAGAAGGAAATTCTTTTCCAAGTTTCATGGAAAATTAGGCTTATCAAACATGGCCTAAGTGATGCAAATGAGCGCTTGCATTGGATGGTTGCTTTTGTCATTGTGTTTGTTGGTGTCAAGACAAGGAGTTTAGTTAGGATTGATTTATGTGGAGTTGGATTAAACGACATGGCTCAGCCTAGCAACGTCATCACCTCAAACAAGACGATGATTCACCGTCCTCTTAACTTGGTTGCGTCTTGAGGCATGCCATCGTTTCACAGGGGGACTTTCTTCTTGGCACAGAAAGGGACACCTGCGGCAATAGTCTGCTCCGCTAAACTACCTTCCGCCTTCTTTTGATTGTTTCGGGATAAAAAAAATTTGATTACAATTTGTAGAAATCTTGCAACATGAAATTGAAATGTATTGAATTTAAATTGATCATTGATTGCTTGAAAGATAGAAGTTTCAATTGATGAAAGTAGCAAATTACAATGGCTAGTGTATGAGGTGAACACTAGAAAACTTGAAAGATAGTTTGAAAGACTAATACCCCATATAATAACATTCTGAACAAAAATCTAAGTGATAGGAGTAGACGTTTAAATGCCGAGTGATCATACTAAACGTTTTCCAATATCACAACTATTTTACAATTGAAATAAAATATTTACAATGTGTAGCCGAAATTGGGTAAACTGCGGCTGTGATTGGGTCAAGCTGTCAAGGGGCTAATTGAAGCTGCGATCCTTGACATTCTTCCCCATTTGTTTTGGCGACATCATCGGTGCCCTCAATGCATGATATTCTTCGATTAATGGTTTGAAGGCTCCATGTCTCTTTCTCTTTCCCATGTATTCTCTTCACTGCTGCATCCACTTCATTTGACCAAGTACTCTTGATGATATTTTCTAGAAGCTCGAGTAGTACGATGGTCCAGTATAGCTTCTGCAACCTTCTTTCCGTCTTTTCTCAGTTCAAACACAGGTCGCTTTGGCTCATTTCTGGATGCATCCTTCTTGTAGGAAAAGTACGACTTGAGTACGCCAACATGAAGGATCTTCTAGATTTTGTACCATGAAGGTAGTGCAACTCTGTATGCTACTCTTCCAATTCTCTTCACGATGGGTAATGGTCCAATATATTTTGGCACCAATCTTGAGTCTTTCCCTCTTGTCGGTTT